AGTTACCCCCTCCCCCGAGCTCCCCCCACCTCCCTGGGCGCACCCCCTTCCACCAACCTACCCCTAAATTTTTTTTTGTTTTTCAAAAACAAAAAAAGAAAATCTATTTTTTCAATTAAGTTTGAAAATTAATATTAATTTTTTTATTTTTTAGCACAATTAAATTTTTTGAGTGGAAGTGAAAACTAAGTGATCTATTATGGGTCAATATGGATATCCATATTTAACCCATTTTGACCATATTTGTAGAGACTCTTAAAATAGTTTGAAGCCCATATTTAACCAATTAAAATAGGAAAAATTACAGAAATCCTACCTTTTAGTTTACTTATTACCATTATCCCCTATAAGTTTTATAAATCTCCAACATCCCTCATTTTTTGCGCATCAGATTAGTGTATCTCGCGCATCAGATTAGTGTATCATGTATAAAACGTAATGTATCTTACTTAACGATTAATGTATCTCGCGCATCAGATTAATGTATCAGTGCTTATATTATTGTATCCGTTTGAGGGATTTCTGTAATTATAAACTTTTAAGGGATAAATTGTAATTTTACCTTAAAAGTATGTGATTTATGTAATTTGTCCATTAAAATATAAGTGATCCAAGTCATTAACTATGAGCAAAATAGACTCATTTCATTAATATAGGCTGAAATTGCCACCCCTACATATGCTTAATTGCTTATGCCATGAGCCCATGACTACGATTTGTCTATCTTATTCTTATTTTCCCCTTGAGATAAGTGATGGAAGAAGAAAGCTAAACTTAAATAACAAATTAAGGTTAGTGTATAATTCTTAGCGCTCCAGAATACTTGTCAGTTGTTATGTTTTACCAATTTGATTAATTTTTTAAAATTATATGAAGAAAACTGGGAGTAGGGGAAGGAGAAATGGGGAGAAAATTACAAGTTGAGATTCACCCTAATTAGTAAGGTGAAAATTTTTAGTTGTCAATCAACTAAGCTATTAATATTTTCCCAAAACTAATTAATTGAATATTTTAGAATAAAAAAATATACATATATGTAAAAGTATACGAAAAGCACTTATATATGTAAAAGTATACTAAAAGCACTATATATAAAGATAGCGTTTGACTACAGATTTTGGATCAGATTTTGAAAATATCTTCAAATATTTGTTTGGCCACGAAATTTGATCAAAAACTCAAATTTTCACATTTCAAATTTCACCTTCAAAGTCTATGGTAAAACGAAAGCTTATAAGTTACAATTCTTCTCATATATTAACATGATGAAAATATTATATACATCTTAAAACATTAATAAAATTTTATATAATCTAACTTTCAATAAGCAAAATACGATAAATAATTTAAGACGGAGGACATATTGATTATGATAGTGCCTGCATGGCTTTTAAGTAATTTTGCAAGACAAGAAATGCTTTAATTTGGTCCCCCTTTATATTGCATATATCAGAGCAATGAATTCAGTGTCCACACCATAACATGCATTATTGTACTTTTCCTGTTCAATATTTTTAACACTCTGTTTGGATCATTATTATTTATTGTATTGTATTGTATCGTTACTATATCTATAACGTTTATTTTGATTGTTACTTAAAATGTATTATATTATATTATTAAATTTCATTGTTACATAACAATGAAAACCCCTATTTTATGGAACAATCGATTTGGTGTGTTCCCATTGTTACTTAATTTCTTTTTCCAATTATATCTTTACATAATATTTCAAAATACTATTTTACCATTTACCTTATATTATTTAATTCTAGTCAAACCTCCTACCCTAGAATAATTAAGGATATTTTAGTAAATTTATAAATTACAATACAGTACGATACAATCAAATCAAACAATTAAAATGTTATTAAACAACAACAAATAACACAATCTAGCTAAACATTGTACTACCATACAGTACAGTACAATATAATACAATACAATACATTATAAAATAATGGGTAACAATTATCCAAATAGAGTGTAAGGGCTTAGACAGACTTTTGGAAGAAGAAAAAACAATTACAACTTAAAAGCTTTAAGAAACATTGGTCAAACCCAAAAAAAGAACCCACAAGCAAATTTGGTTTTATCTGCTGACAAGAATCGACCAAGATTCGGAAAAGTAAAATTAAAGAGTGTAGCAGTATCCCTGTTGTAAGTAGAAAAAGAAAAGTTATCCAGTGACTGCTAATATGGCAGAATTAACAACTTCGTTAGGTAAAAATTTATTCGCACTCAATACTTTCATACATCAATAATAACATATTTGGTGTAATCTCACAAATGAGATCTGAGAAGGATAGTGTTTATGCAATTTTTATTTTTACCCTATAAAGATAGAGAATTAGTATTTCTGATTAATCTTCGGCTCAAATAAAATATATCAAAATCTAATATGAAAAGAAAATATGATAATGAAAAAGTCATTCTAAAAATAAAGGGGGTAAGAGAACAATAGCTACAACAAATAGCATGTTAATGCCTAATGAAGCTAATGATCGGAGAGAACAAAGATAATACTACTAAAATCGAAAACTAAGATAATACAAGGGTAATAATAATAATACTGATCGATGAGGAAAATCAAATAACTCTCACCTATTAATTGTCTACTCTAATCATCGACCTTCACATCCTTCTATTTAGGATCATGTTCTATATATCTAATCACTCATATCCCGTACTTCTTCAATTTAATTCTATCTATCTCCGCGCCCATAATGGATGACCTCTCACACCTCCTTGCTAGGGCTTCGGTGTCTGGACCATCTCAGACACACCTCCTTCATGTTGTCTTGGAGGTCATTCTGATCACCTTATTTTAGATATCATCATTCCTAATTCTTTCTAAAAAAATAAGTGAATATTCAAATATTTAAAATGAAAAAATATATGATGCTAAAAAAATGTCTTTTTTAGAATCGAACTCTAAAGTGAAGTCTAGTTCAAGATGATGAGCTGGGGCTGGTAGTAGTAATTATTGCAAAATGTTCAAATCATCTCTTATCCTCCCATCTCGGCCTACACAAACGACGACTATTGCAACACTCTAAATTTCTTCCACATGATTCTTATTTGTGCATTGAAGAAAGAGAAAATTTCGTCAATTGTGCTTATATATTAGAGCTAATTTTTTTGCAAGAAAAATAGTACTACGTAATTATGTTTTAGAACGTAACACTACTTTGTTTTCAAAATGCAGCAGAATAAATGTTATCTGTTTGTACGGGTTGGTGTATATGTATTTTATTATTAAAATAAAATATTAAGTGCATATGATAGTGGATATAAATTTTGGTAAAAGATGACTATTAATTCTTATAATTTATATGAAGACTATTAGTTTCATGTAACTCATATAGTCATTAGTTTTTTATAACTTATGTAACATCTATCACATTTATTTACTCACATTACTATCCTTCATTCTACTCATTGATGATTACATAGAATACTTCTTCACCTACAAATAATGGTGCATCTTCCTTTGTGCTGGGAAGGAGATGAAATATGTTAAGTGTAGAAAAAATATTGTAGTATGTAATAGTGAAAGAGAGAGTTGAGACAAAGAAAATATTCTAAATCTTCAACTATATTCACTATAGAAAATAGAGTATTTATATGTTTAAAAAATGTACGATGTATCGGATAATCATTGGAGATAAATTACCTTCTACGATGTATCAGATCTCCATATTTTTCCTCAACTTATCGATCTCCGATTCAACTGCAATAGATGATTTGAGATTCACAAAAGTAATATTATGGTCAACAACTATTTCATCACTTATGTATCGTACATACCTCACCTCACTTTCCCAGATTCTTGAATGTCTTAACACGATCAATATATTCATGTTGTATTTGTTCAATTTTTTGAAAAATTTGAATCAAAATTGAATGGATTTTGGAAGAACAGGGAGAAGAAATTTGAATTTTAAAATTGTTCAACCTGTTACGCTTTGCCAGAGATTGATTCTCATTGCCAACAACGTGATTTTGTGATTTATGATTTTATTATTTAATTTTATGTTTCTTTTTCTTTTTAAGCATAACAGAGAAACGATTTATGTATCTGGATTATTTGTTATGTTTCCAAATGACACTAATTTGGATGGAATTTTGTAAATTAGAAAAGAGTAGGGATATGATGTAATTTACTCCATACACTATGGGAACTTAAATTTCTAAAAAATTTACAAAATATAAAGGAAAAATTACATGGTTAAGCAAACATATACTAGTTAATTAGTCATCATACTCACAACCAATATTCAATGATAATTATGTAGGCTGGTGTTTCGAGTTTGTATAATTCACACGTTTGTATAATTTGAAATTTGTATAATATAATTTGTATAACTTTTGTATAATGTGATTTTGTATAATATAATTTGTATAACTGTTTAAAGTTTAGATGTCTGAGTTTGTATAAATTTGTTATTTCGAGCTTATACAAAAATAACTCAATTATACAAACGTACCATCGAACTAGACAAACTCACCCGCAAATTATACAAACAAGACAGCTTAAACTGTAGCTACAACTTGTAAATATGCAAACTATAGTTATGGAGCGTAATTAAGTTTATTATTATGAATATTTTCGAAAATCCCTCATAAATAAATCATTGGGCTTCTTTAAATTGGATCAAATGCTTGGGCTTTATCCATATTGAAAAGTGCAAACACGCTCCCTTTGATCGATGAATTCAAATCTATTTCAGGCCCAGCCCATTGTGAAGGCCTGTTCAACCCAAATTTTATTATTGAAGAAACTCACAATTTTACGTATCAAATTGCCTTCACAATTTATTAAAAATTTAGATATGATATGACTTTACGTGAGAAACTAGTAAAAATTATTGTAGTTCGCCAATTTGTGGGCGAACTATTTTTAAAATTTTTATGATGTGTTTTAGGATGTATTGACGGAATTAACTTTGTTTATTTCAGTTCACCCACAAATGGCGAAGCATCCAGTTTGATATGTATTTTTAGAGTAAATCTTTTTTGATATATAATGTCCAAAAAATATTTATTTTGAGTCTGAATTCTTTAAAGAGACGTGACTTCTTTATCACATCAATGCCTAGGGATAAAGATTACTATTAAATATCCAACTTAAAAGAATAATCAAACTATCGAAAATTTAGAAAAATCTAAACGAAACACCTCAAGTTCAGAATGATCTTTCAATATCCTTTCTTTAAAAAGGTTTTTTTCTTTGTACAAAGCTCTCTTTTTTTGTCAGTTTTTTTCTTTTAAATGATACTTTTATAAATCTAACTTTCTTTTAATTTTTAATAGCTTTTTTTAAATTTTTTTTGCAATAAGCCAATAACACATGTCCACTAATTATATTATATATAATAATAGAATGTGATGATATATTCAATACTATAATTAGGTGTACTTTAATATGTGTCAAAGTGTCAGTGTTTTTTTCTTTTCTATATAGGTCTTGAGCAATTTTTTAAAAAAAAATCGACAAAATTCTTAGGATTGTTTGATACGAAAATGGGATAGACAAAGTTACAAATTACCGTATGAGATTAGTTATTTCATTCTATACATATGATTAACTTATACAATTATTATAATATAATCAAATATAATTTTATATTGTTTCTTAAAATTACTACTTCCTCCGTTCCATTTTATATGTCACTTTTTTACTTTGCACTTGCATTAAAAAATGATGTAACTTTACCCTTCTACCCTTATTTAATATTTTCTTAAGTCAACTTTATAATAAATGATGAATATATTTTCAAGATTAATTAACTACTCTATCAAGGGTATAATAGGCAAAATATGATAATTTATGCATAAATTTTATAAAATGGCAAATATTGTTATCCAGCTATTTATAGAAAAAAATGACATATAAAATGGGATGGAGGGAGTATCTCTTATTTTTTGTACCAAATAAATCCTAGCTTATATTATACATCAAGTAATTAGTGAAGTAGCTCATGATGGTACAATCTAAGAGTTTTGCATCAATTACACCGTCATGAACTACACTATAATTATTCCTCAAAATTAAGTAAAGAGTTTGATTTTAAAAATAAAATTAAATAGTATACTGGATTATTCAAAAAAGGCAACCCATAAAGGTGAGAAGACTCTGACTCGGATCGTAGTTTTTTTTTTTCCGCCTCGGAATCCGTAAAGGAATCAAAAAGAGTAGGTCGTGGTGGTATTAACTATGAGACCCAATTAATTCAATTCAAACTATATCTACTCTACATGATCTGTTATAAAGTCTACATATGTGTGATGAGCTCTCACGTTGCCTTATTTGGTGCTGCTTGAGATCTGCTTCAATCTCTCCCATTTCCGTCTTCTCTCAGGTACGAGCCACTGTGTCTAATAGCTCTACATTCACTGCTCCCCTACCGTTTCTCTTTTTCTTTTTAATTTATTGTATGGCGGCACGAGAAGGAGATTTCAATGTCGGAATCAAATTCTAGGTAGTCAATTAATTGAGCTACTAATTAAAATCGAATCCAGGTCTTGTTGCTTTTTAGTTACTCATCTGTTTAGAGAAAATCGATAAGCTCTGTTTCCAAACCGACAGAGTCAGATTACAGGCGAAGATATTGAGAAATAACAATTGCGATTTGATTTGGTTGGGCTGAGTTTTTGTTATTCGTCTTCACTAACAAGAATCAGTCATTTTTTGTTAATTAGTTTTACATGTGATTTTGCATTACTGTTTCTGAAATTCGCTTTTTTTTTTTTGGAGAAACGTGACATGTGTTGAAGTTGGTGTATATTAAATTTTGATTATTTATACACCTGCCATCTTAAAGCCCCAATTTTATTTCCACCATTAAAGACTTAACTTTATTAGGCGTCAACAAAAAAGATCATGAAATTCCCTCTAAGCTAAATTTTTTTCTTTTATATTGTAGTTATAATTAATTAATATTTCTATTCCATGTACTGCTTTGGAGAAGCGTAACAAATTTGTTTTTATTTGTAATACATGTATTATATGTGCATATTTTAATTCTTCCAGGTTTGTTTTTTCCTTTTATACAATTATATTTATATTTATATTTGTGCATGTTAGCAATAAAATACTACTAATTAAATTAGGGATTGCATTACCTGTATACAAATAATACATTGGACGGCTAATTAATTTAAATATTATGTAACACGTAGGACCCCCTCCGTTACTGCAAAAAAGCCTCCCCTCTTTGTTTGTGCGCTAAAAGGCATGTCGGAATAAAAATATAAAAATTAAAATAAATTTGTAAAAGGCTACAAAATTAAATCTTTCAAATCTAACTGGTTGATTTCACAGTGTTTAACTATTCTGTGTCGAATTTGGAATACTATATATTATTATTATTATTGTTACTATTGTTGTTATTTTTAATTTTTTTCTGTTAGTCAAGTAAAAAAGTGTTTTTAAGATTGTCAATAATTGAGCGATAAATTAATAATTCACAGTTTAGATGTTTTCAGTATTCTCTTAACTTCACTCTCCCTATGTACAATTTTATCATGATATAAATCGAACTTTGGAGTATTTCTCTCACTATCCAATTCTTAATGAATCATGACGCATAAATCTTTGAAATATACTCAAAAAAGGAGCATATTAGAAGGGGAAAAAAAAAAATCAGAAATAGGAAATAAATAAATTGGCTTTGATAAGAGTAATATTTCTTCTTAGGGATTTAAGCCTCGCATTTAGTTGATGTTGAATCCTTTGACTTCTAGTGTGTTACTTCTTTATATTTTGAATCTCCTGAGTGAAAATTCGACTCGACTGTTCTTCATAAATGAATCTTTAACCCGTTTAAACTGAGGTTTACATACTGCATAACCTGTTTTATTCTAACTTTTTGGCTTCAAAAAGTTCATCTTGGATCCACTTCAAGAGCTTATTCCTATCCTTGCCAAACCTATTCTTGATCACTGCCTAAGAAGTAAAAATATTTAATTGGCTCTCTGATACCAATAGAATTCACTGTTTTCAAAAGTATCGGGTAATTTAACCCTTCCTGGTACTGTTAAAGAAGAAGCAAATCAGGTAAGATTTTCATTGAGGAAAAACATGATTCAGCATTATTTCGATTTGTATAAGGAAACTAGCAAAGAAGTTGAAAAAAGTCTGGTAAAACATTATAGTATAGGCATAACAATGTGTATTATTATTTCGAAATAGTTTTGTTTATTAAGCAGTCTAACATTAGTAAGAAAGACACAACTAATTCAGATATGTATTGCTTCTGACAATTTTTTTACATATTTTGTGATTGTTATTAGCAAAACAATCACAAACATACTACTTATATCGACAGTAAATTAGAGGATTCCGTTTCTATGCTAGTGACATTGTTCTTCCTCGAATTAGTACTTTGCCTTCCGTATCAATATAACTCACTCAAAGAAAGTTATATGACATCTATTCTATCCTAGCTCCCATTGTGTACCGAAACAATAACGCTGCACTTGGAGATACAATCTGTTCCTTAATTCTCGCGCCTTGTTTCATAATGATGCAGATGGATATAATGAAGGATTTAACCGCTGGTACAGTTGGAGGAGCAGCACAATTGATAGTTGGTCACCCTTTTGATACCATCAAAGTCAAGCTCCAAAGCCAGCCTACTCCACTTCCAGGGCAACCTCCTAAATATGCAGGGGCCATAGATGCTGTCAGGAAAACAGTGGCTTCTGAAGGTCCAAGGGGGTTATACAAAGGCATGGGAGCTCCACTTGCCACTGTAGCCGCCTTCAACGCTTTGCTTTTCACTGTTAGAGGTCAAACTGAGGCATTGTTAAGGTCTGAACCGGGAGCTCCTCTTACTGTCAAGCAGCAAATCCTTTGTGGGGCTGTTGCTGGAACTGCTGCATCATTTCTTGCCTGCCCGACTGAACTCATAAAATGCAGGTATGCTCGTTAATGCATCCAATTCAGAAGTATAATACTCCCCCTATCTTAATTTGTCTGAAACTGTCATTAATTTGAGTGATTTGAAAGTTAAATTGAACTGGATTAAATTATTTATAAAACCAATATGGATATTTAGAAACTAAATGTACTATAAGTCACGATTGACCTATATCAAGATCGTAAAATAATACATTATAAAATGTTAGTCAAAGCTCAGTAATCTTTGAAAATGAAGAGTAGTAGTGAATTCACATGAGAGCTAATATTGTGCCTGTTTTCAAATCTTGCATCCTGAATCTGCATATGTCCAGTACAATAGGTTCACTTTTTTTGGACAAGAGTCAAGACTATAGATGGCAAAAATACTTTGGTGCAGAGGGATTAGCATATGTCTTCTTACTTGAGATATCTAAGCTAGCTCCGTAAACTAATACAGTAACTTATAATAGATGAGCCCATTACCCTTATGTTCTGAACTTGCTTCTTGGTACAAGGAAAGAGGCAAAGATACCGCTTTGAAATTGAATCTTTTCAAGTGTTTGTAAATTTTCCTCAGCCCCTTTAGTATTAACCGTCAAATTGACCGGTTGGAACAGGAACTCATCGTTCTGCTTTTCTTTTCTCCAGTGTAGTATACATGTGTTTTGCGGTTTGTCTCTTTTACTGTAAAAACTATTTGTATTGTTTCATGTATTTTAGCAAATTAACTGTTGGATTCTCAAATGTGAGTGCAGGTTGCAAGCGCATAGTGCATTGGCAAGTGTAGGATCAGCCTCTGTGGCCATAAAGTATACAGGGCCAATGGATGTTGCAAGACACGTTCTTCGTTCAGAAGGAGGTGTAAGGGGTCTCTTCAAGGGTATGTGCCCCACCCTGGCACGAGAAGTACCAGGAAATGCAGTTATGTTTGGTGTATATGAAGCGTTAAAGCAGTACTTTGCAGGAGGCATGGATACTTCTGGGCTAGGAAGGGGTTCTCTTATAGTAGCTGGAGGCTTGGCTGGTGGTTCAGTCTGGTTTGCAGTGTATCCAACAGATGTTATTAAGAGCGTAATTCAAGTTGATGATTATAGAAGCCCGAAATACTCTGGCTCTTTCGATGCTCTTAAAAAGATTTTGGCCTCAGAAGGTGTCAAAGGCCTTTACAAGGGGTTTGGACCTGCTATAACGCGTAGCATCCCAGCAAATGCTGCTTGCTTCTTGGCATATGAGATGACTAGATCTAGTTTGGGATAATTGCTCCAAGGTTTTAGGACAATTGTGCTTTCAAAAAAATTTACAGTATCATTGTTTCAAGATTAAGAAGGAAAATTTTGTGAGCCTAGTTCTGTTATCATACAAAGCCAAAATAGAAATATATTATCACAATAGTTCCCAATCTCTGGTTTCATCTTCAGTGTTTATTTGTTTTTTGTTATGTCAGATGGATTAAAAATCAAGGAGATGGTAAATTTCATTCACAATATTTCTGTATCTTCCCATTCTAAATGATTGAAACATGACATTTCGTCAAAAATAATCAAGTAATCTTGAATATAGTTGTTATTGCTCCTTCTCTTTTTGGCATCAATAATAGAGGTAAAGAAGATTAAAAAAAAAGTAGTCACAGTGATAATAGGTCAGACTAGCAACCTATTATGATGGACAAAGCTAGGGGACGGAACGGGTTCATCCAGTATAAGGTTAAAACTACGTATTTTTTATGTATATATCATAGATGTTGAATCCCCTTTGTTATATGTTTATTTTTTATATATTTTGAATCTCTTTGGGTCCTTTAGAAACTCTTTTTAGCTTTATGTTCTGTTTACTAGAGATGTTAATTTTTCAAGAGTCGGCTACTAAATTTATGACATGATGTGTAGAACTCAAAAGTCAAACCTAATAGTTTGAAGGTCAGACTTGCAAATTGCAATAACTGAAGTTTGGTCTAACTTCAACGACAAAATGTAGCATTATTGACCAAGGAAGCATGAAGTTTGTAGTATGAAAACTGTTCCTGGTGAATGCTTCTTGGAACTCTGATAACAGAATAGAACTGATCAAGACAAAGGCGAAACACATGATTTGAACTTTAAGGGTTCACGTTTGAAATTCTACTACAATTTACTGAGCCCGTAATCTTTATTTGCACCAAATAGTGAGTTTTTTAAATATATATACGGGTCTAAGTCAAAGCTACTAGGTCCAGATAAATTCGTAGTCTATTCCCTATATATCCGCCCCTGGATCAAGAACCAATACATAATTGAAATTTGGAGAAAGAATCCTACATTATCATTCACTTGTATAACACCTATACTATACAGCTTTGTTTAACGTATACGCTAAAGGAAAACATTATCCTAAAGAATGAGATTCATCATAAAACAGTTTTATATATGTTTCTTGTCATGCAAATTAATAGTAAAGCAGTCGAAATAAATAAAGACATAATACATAAATAAACACGGACTTCAGTTGGTAAGTAAGCACTTCAACTTTATAAGTGCACATTTAAACATCATAACCTGGTATCAACTAACAACTAACCATTCCAACTTGTCCCCACCTGCGTCTCGTGTATATCAGATGTGACGTGACACATAAATTTCAGAGATGTATAGATGGTCATTTTGTAAATAGTTGGAGACTTGGAGTGTGCAATTGACTGGTTAGTGGAGATAAGTTAAAGTATCTAGATCAAATCACTAGATGTGCATATTAAAATTGGAATATTTATTTGCTAGCTAAGATTTATATAATATGTCACAAATAAATTAATAATAAAGAAGTGGCTGATTCTTCCAGATGGCTTGCATGAAATGACCTTGATTAATCTTATCTAGTCTTATCAAGGAAACAGATTTATGTGTATCTTATCTTGTGCATTTATTTATTAAGAAGCTGACTCTTCCAGATTGGTTTGATGTATAGAATATGAAAGATTAAACCTAACAGTTCAAAAGTCAAATTAGAAACAATAAATAAACAGATTCAAAGTCTCAATTCAATGATGGTATACATTATGCACCAATATTATCATATTTTATCTGCATTACAATGAGCCTGCCTAGTGCGTCTAATTTTAGATGATTAACAATACGTATCGCGGCTTAAGCCATTGCATCTTGAATCCAGCTGCGAGTGATGATCATATGACTATGCAACATATAAGTATCGCGGCGTAAGTCATTGGATTTGATAGAACTCAATTTTCGCTCAAGCTTGGCTTAAATGGATCAAAACTCGAGCTGGATTGATCACTCAACTCAGGTGACTTGATAACTAGCCTACTACGTCCAAAAATATAAGTTGTCCATCTCATTTCATGTGTTATCGTTTAATTTGATATTAAAAAAAAATATAAAAACAAATTGTTTCTATACTAGTTGAGAAAAATTAGAGATAATTAACGCAATATTGACTTTGCAAATGAAAAACAGAAATAATTTGTCTTGACTTGCCACTTTAATAACGCGGCTGACCTTTCAACCAATCAATGTTCACTTAGCGGGGCAGCCACCCAACCTGTCCTGTCCTCCTACATACTTGGCCTGCATTCCCAAATTTTACCACTATTTTTTTAGAGTACTTGCTATTATTATTTGTCTTCTACTTCTGTCCACTTTTAATTGTTACTTTTTCTTTTAGAATTAAATTATAAGAATTTTGATTAATATTTCATGATGTATTTTTTTATCATATTAATATGTAAAAAAATTGCAATTTATAGTACTTTTCATATAGTTTTTGAATATCTTAATTTTTTATTTAAAATATCAAATTAATGCAATCTAATTTAACTTTGAAAATTAGTCAAATTGACTTTCGAAAGTGCAACATAACAATTAAAAGTTGATGGAGAGAATAATATTATTTCTTCTTTCTATTTTTTCTTCACAATTTTTGGTAAGTTAAATATGAAAGTTTTTAAAGAATGTTTTATTTTACATTATATAGCAAAGTAGAGGAATTGCGCATCATAAGAATCTAATTTAGATGAGATTGTTTTAAAATTCAATATGATATCGAAATTAACAAACATCTTGAGTGTGAGTGTTAGCCTCAGTCAAAAAAAATAGTTTGATCTATCTCTAAGAATTTAAATCACAAAATTTAAAAGTTTTTTTTTTTAAAATTTTTTTTATATCAAATTAAAATATATCGAACGAAGAAAAATAATATAATTGTGAACTCCCAGATTATTTTATGTTTTAGTCGCACAGTTCAAATACTTTTATATCTCTTCCAAAAAGAATTCATGCATCTTTTTCCATTATTCACTTATTATTATAATATATAAGTAGAAGCAGAAATAAGAATAAAACTTGAACCGCAAATTACACTTTACTTTTTCCCCATTTTGCTTGCCTCTCTCTGTCTAATGGAGCAATCCGATAACTCAACGACCCACGTTCATCAGGAAGCAGAAGAAGAACCAAACCCAACCCATCAGTTCACGCTTCCTCCCGGTTTCACACCGGAAGAATCCGATGAGCTCAATTCAAGTATAACCGAGTTCCACTCCTACCGAGTCGACTCATCCCAATGTTCTTCCCTACTCGCACAACGCATCCACGCGCCGCCTCACGTCGTCTGGTCCGTCGTCCGCCGTTTCGAAAAGCCTCAGATATACAAGCACTTCATCAAAAGCTGTTCCGTCGGAGAGAACTTCTCCATGGTCGTGGGTGCCACGCGCAATGTCAACGTCATCTCCGGCTTACCGGCGAATACAAGTACTGAGAGGCTCGATTTATTGGACGATGAAAAGTACGTTACCGGTTTCAGTATAATTGGCGGTGAACATAGATTGACGAATTACCGGTCAGTTACTAGTGTACATGGATTCGAACGCGATGGGATAATCTGGACCGTTGTTTTGGAATCGTACATCGTTGATGTGCCTGAAGGGAATACTGAAGAAGACACTCGTCTTTTTGCTGATACAGTTGTGAAATTGAATCTTCAAAAATTAGCCTCCGTCGCCGAAGCCATAGCTCGTGGTGGTAACGGTGAGATCTCCTAAAATTTCAAGTTTAATTTCTCTTCATCTTAATTTTCTTCTTTCTTTTCCATTGGCTGAAATCATGGAAAGATATTGTGTTTCTAAAAAGGTTCATGGAAGAGAATCAGAACGATATCCTTCACAAGTTCAGTCTGATCTTATCATAATAATACTACTGTATTAGATTAATTATTCGTCTCGCAGTGTATGTTAGAACTTTAACAGGGCTATTTGGGTCGATGCTGATGTACAGAATGAGGAAATGATATAAGATGAAGATGTTGTATTTCTGTAATTTTATTTTATGAAAAGAACAAAAATAAAATGTTTTTAACTTTTTTTCAATTATGGGATCATTGATTAAGTTGAAATAAGTTAATTAGTAAGTTTCCATTATAATATACTTGAGCTTATTACTCTTTGTTGCTCAAAATCTTTGTTGTTTTATAAAAATAGGAGATACTTAACTGACTTTCTTTTTTCCAATTTTTCTCTTACATAAGTAATATTTTCAAGATCCAATTCACCGGGCCGTGTGGGCACCTACATACTATTCCTAAGTAGGAGAACCCTCATAACCCAACAATTTTAAACATTCGGAAATTAAATAAACGGAAATAACATACTAATGGAATTCTTTATTAAAAACTTTTTAACAATTTCGAGTCAAGACTTGTAAAGTAATTAACACTCTCAAGGATCTAGTCTAAACAAGTACAAGAGCTACTAAGAGTACAACTGGACATGATAGTTAAAAGACACAGCTCCCACCATGTGGGAGGAAGAATAGAAGCTGTTGGAGATTTTGTTCGTCTTAACCTAATGAAACCTCACCGATCCTGCAACAGACTAGTCAGTACAAAACACGCGTACTGATAGGCATCATCGGTCAATCCGACGCCCACCACATAACATAAGAAATCAACTAGTAAGATCATGAAATAAATCACTCGCTTCTCCACCTTTACCCTCTCTTGAAATACCTCTAATATACACTAGTATTCTGCCTACTATCATCCTTCTCAATCCACCTACCTACCCGATACTTGATCGTAGTCTAACCATTCTAACACATAGAGAAATCCCCCCAATACAATTACCAATATTTCAACTAACCGTTCACGTCATACCCCTACTTCCTCGTCACATTACCCAGCCATAGTCACATAATACATTACATCAAGCTCCATTAACACTAAACCCAATTTCTTTTTCCCAAGGTGAAATCCACCTAAGCATATTTCATCACACACGCTACCTCTACTCATCGCCATAACAACCCACAAACAACCCTTACTATCTATTACTCGCCTCTTGAACACTTTGCCCTTCCACTATACTCAACAGGTTCGCTCATTACGACGAACAATCAAATATCCCTCATCATACACGTACCCACTAAGTGCAACATAAGCAAGTCAAAACAACACTATACTCGCATGCGCATATCAAACATATACAATATCATCAATATTT